GTGTTAAAAAAAAAAAAAAAAAAAAAAAACCAAACAAACAAACGAAAGAAATGGCATGGAATTCAATGAGAACACGGATCACATAACAACATAATTCTCAACAAAATCAATGATAATAAAAAATAATGAATAATAATAATAATAATGAATAATGATATATTAATTAATTACCAGCTTTGATGGAGGCATCTGCCTGCGCAACGTTCCTTGCCATGGCAGCAAGCAGCGCGATCCCATGCTCGGCGGCGGCGACGGTGTTAGCGGTCGGAGCGTTAACGACCAAACAGCCGAACTCGGTGGCGGCGGCCAGATCCACATTGTCGATGCCGACGCCGGCCCTTCCAACGACCTTCAGCTTTCCCTTCGCCGCCTCGAACACCCCGCGGCTCACCTTCGTCCCGCTCCGCACGATCAGCGCGTCGCACACCGAGATCTTCGCGCACAGCTCGTCCGACGACAGCTCGTACGCGCACTCCACGTCGCCGAACCCGCGCAGAACTTCCAGGCCGGCCTCTCCGAGCTTCTCGGAGACCAAGATCCTCGGCCTCGGGAACTCCGAGGCGGTGTCGTTTTGAGGCTTCTTGTCGATTTCCGTTGCCGTTGCCGTTGCCGCTTCGAGGACGCTCTTGATTGGGCAACTTCGTTGGGAGACATGGTTATTGCGTGAGATCAGAGTTCCTATGGGTCTTGAATTGGAGGCGTTGTCGAGGAAAGAGAGAGAGTTTTTTGATTTTGATGGTTGTGAAGTAGATGATGGGGAGATCACGAACAAGGAGGAGAATATTTTGGGTTTGGTAATGGAGGAAGCCATGGGAATAATTCGTTTCTCTTCTCTGTTTTTTTTCCTTGAATTGGGGAAGGGAACAATAATAAGTTGGGAAATGTTATTGATGAATAAAATTTAGTTTGTCATACCCATGGTCAATGGAAATTGTATATACATCTTTAAAACCAGAGAGCCAAAAGTAGAGATGACTGTAACTAAGAAAAGACATTTCTCTCTCTAAGAAAATAAAATAAAAGACAAACTTATCTAAATCTTTTTTCACCTTTTTCTGCATTATTTTAAAATTTTTGACAGCCTTGGATAATAATAATGCACATGCATCTGGCCTATTATGAAGTGAGGTACATAAATAGATATTGCTCTGATCTTGTCTGCCATGCTCATAGTTACTATTATTATTAGGGGATTTTTTTCTCATGAGACAAATTAAAAAAAAGAAAAAAAATGAAGTAGTACTGATAATTCAATCGTAATATTTGTATAAAAAATTATTTATTTTATATATTTTTTTAATTAATGTCATTTAATCAAATTTGATGTTTAAAAACTGACCCTACTAATAAAGTAAAAGTTCTTATTATTTAGCATAAACAAGAGCACTGCATTGAAAAAACGTTTGCTGCCGAATGCTAAATTTTAGCACGAGACAAATAAAAAAAAAAAGAAAAAAAATGAAGTAGTACTGATAATTCAATCGTAATATTTGTATAAAAAAATTATTTATTTTATATATTTTTTTAATTAATGTCATTTAATCAAATTTGATGTTTAAAAACTGACCCAACTAATAAAGTAAAAGTTCTTATTATTTAGCATAAACAAGAGCACTGCATTGAAAAAACGTTTGCTGCCGAATGCTAAATTTTAGCACGATTTTTTTCTACATAAATTTTATTTTTATGACCGTTAAAAAGTTTTTCTTCCACGTAAATGGTGATTTTTTTTTCTCTTTTTTATCCTGTTCTTTTAATTTGCTTATGCTAAACCTAAGTCAAAACTCGTGCCGTTAAACACAAAGTTTGTCCAATTAATCTTCAAACAACGAGAATAAAAAATCATGTTCAAATTTCGAAGTAGCCTAACATTATGGGTGCGTTTAAAACTCATTTTAAAATAATTTTATTTTTTGTATGAAAATAGAAATGAAAACGTTTTCAATCTCATACAGAAATTATTTTTGAAAACTCGTTTTAAAATAATTTTATTTTTTGTATGAAAATAGAAATGAAAACGTTTTCAATCTCATACAGAAATTATTTTTGAAAACTCGTTTTAAAATAATTTTATTTTTTGTATGAAAATAGAAATGAAAACGTTTTCAATCTCATACAGAAATCATTTTTGAAAATGTGTTTGGTTGTTTTATCAAGAGATTATTTTCAGTATAAAAACTCACTAATGTCTCTCTCTTTCTGCTCAAGAGAGGAGAAAATAAAAAAGTCATTTTTCATTTCTCTCTCATTTTACACTAAACCAAAAAATCGTCTCACTAATGTCTCTCTCTTTCTGCTCAAGAGAGGAGAAAATAAAAAAGTCATTTTTCATTTCTCTCACATTTTACACTAGACCAAAAAATCGTTTTCATTTCTGTTTTTTGTCTTTAATTGTGCCAAACATCATTTTAGAATCGTTTTTATTTTTTTTTATCAAAAAACATGAAAATAAAAACAAAAATAATTTCAAACACAGCATATAATTTACCGACACAAATGAAAAACGACAATAAAGGACAAATTTTTTTAGTAAAAACACGTTATTTAGTTAATTAAGAAATACATGGACTTTCATCGATTGGTTGTTACTTGTTACCATAAAAAAAAAAAAAAAAAAAAAAAAAACGATTGGGCGGACCAAATCGATTGGTCGACTCAAGTGATATCATTATCATCAACATTATCACTAATATTATCAATTTTATACTCATGTTAGTGTCCATCTTATTGTCTTTGAGGAGAGGGGAGATTATTGTTTCTATCCTTGTCGTTCTATTATTGTCATAGTTAATTGTTGTTTATCCTTGTTATTGTCATAGTTAATTGGGAGGTGGGAATTATTGTCATTGTAATGGGAATTCTATAGCAGAGTTGTGTACTTTTTCTCCACAGATAGAGAAGTATATTAATATCCTTTTGGGGCGCAATTTCGGTGGGTTATTTACCAATGTATCTAATC